TTGTTGCTGAGTCTGAGTCTGTCTGTCCTCCGTCCGTCGGGGGTGAGTATGCTCTAGGCACGGACGTCCTTGAGGACACACAGGAGGACCTTGAGTGTCTTGTAGCCGCTGCGCCTCATCTCGTGTCCATGCTGATTGCCCCTGAGGGAGACCCGGATGCTCCAGACATCCCGACCCCGCGCTCTTACGCTGAGGCGATCGCGGGTGAGTACTCCTCTCAGTGGCAGACAGCTATGGACGCAGAGATGGCATCCTGGAAGTCCACTGGCACTTACGTCGACGAGGTTCCCCCTCCTGGGGTGAACATCGTCAGTGGCATGTGGATTTTCAGGGTGAAGCGGCCGCCGGGTTCTCCGCCTGTCTTCAAGGCTTGTTACGTCGCTCGAGGCTTCAGTCAGCGAGAGGGAGTAGAATTCTTTCAGACCTTCTCCCCCACCCCGAAGATGACCACTCTTCGGGTGCTACTGCACGTTGCTGCTCAGCGTGACTATGAGATTCACTCTCTTGACTTCAGCACAGCTTTCTTGCAGGGCAGCCTGCACGAGGAGATCTGGCTGCGCCGCCCTCCTGGCTTCACTGGGTCGTTTCCTCCTGGTACCCAGTGGAGCCTCCGACGGCCGGTCTACGGTCTCCGCCAGGCGCCACGTGAGTGGCACGACACACTGAGGACTACTCTTGCGGCACTTGGGTTCGCGCCTTCTACTGCTGACCCGTCACTGTTTCTGCGCACCGACACTTCGTTGCCGCCGTTCTACATCCTCGTGTACATCGACGACTTGGTCTTTGCCACTGCTGACACTGAGGCTCTCGCCCACGTGAAGTCGGAGCTGCAGAAGAGACACACGTGCACAGACTTTGGTGAACTGCACAGCTACCTTGGCTTGCAGATCACCCGGGACAGAGCACGCCGCACCATCACACTGACTCAGTCACACATGGTGCAGCAGGTCCTTCAGCGCTTCGGCTTCACCTGGTCCTCAGTACAGGCCACTCCTCTGGCTATAGGTCACTCGCTCTCAGCTCTGCCTTCGGATGAGTCCGTAGAGCCGAGTGGTCCTTACCCAGAGCTAGTTGGTTGCCTCATGTACCTGATAACTTGCACTCGTCCTGACCTAGCGTACCCTCTTGGCCTTCTGGCCCGCTACGTGGCTCCTGGCAGGCACCGAAAGGTGCACTGGGATGCTGCAAAGAGGGTATTGCGCTACTTGTGCAGTACATCGGGCATGGGGCTCGTGCTTGGAGGAGGGAGCTCAGTTGTTCTCACTGGGCACTCAGACGCTTCTTGGGTTGACGACCAGGCTACTCAGCGGTCGTCACAGGGTTACACCTTCAGCCTTGGCTCTGGCTCAGTTTCGTGGCGTTCTACGCGTTCGTCTTCAGTTCTCAGCTCCAGTTGTGAGCCTGAGATCTACGCCACAGCCATGGCTGCACAGGAGTTACGCTGGCTCACCTACCTGCTGACTGACCTGGGAGAGCGGCCTCGTTCTCCTCCAGTGCTGTACGTCGACAACAAGGCTGCCATTGCCTTGTGTGAGGAGCACAGACTGGAGCACAGAACGAAGCACATCGCTCTACGTTACTTTCTGGCTCGAGAGCTGCAGCAGCGCGGTCAGCTTCGTCTGCGTTACGTGGCCACTCAGGCCAACACTGCTGATATATTCACCAAGGCACTTCAGCCTGGTGATCATCAGCGCTTCTGTACTTTGTTAGGGCTTGTGCCCACTTTGCCTCACTTGCTGTAGACCTTGCCTGTACTGTGATCTATATACTTATACCTGCATGCTTGTACTGCTAGGTAGAGATCACTATGATGTTTGTGATGCATATTTGCCTCTGCATATGAACTGGCCTTGTGGCTCTTTGCTTGTGCTCAGTGTGTGTGGTGACTTTGTGATCCACCCTGAGCTTGCATTCTCTTTCTTGACTGGTCTTGTGACCCCTTGCTCTACCCCACTTAGCCTATGGGGATGTGTCAAACATTATATATGTTATTGTTGTGTAGGCTATAGCGGGTTAGCCTTTACGGGGTACATCATTCTAGGGTTTGCTACTTGTATCACCCAATGTTCATAGTTCAATCACTTGTGGATTCTGACAAGTTATTCCACCATCCCAACCACATCCTTCAGCCTCGTCGGCTACGTGGATGCCGATCACGCCGCTGATCCTGACAATCGACGGTCCAGGACAGGGTTCCTCTTCCGCCTCGAGCCCAGCGGCCCCATCTCCTGGAACTCTCAGAAGCAGGAGTTGGTTGCCCTGTCATCGGCGGAAGCTGAATTTATCGCAGCAACAGCAGTTGTTCGCGAAGGTCTCTACCTTCAGGAACTGCTGCAGGAAGCGAAAATTCCGGCCTCAACGAACTTTCGCCTGCACTGCGACAATCAGAGCGCGATCAGGATCGCGAACAAACCTGGCTTCGTCAACCGCACCAAGCACATCGCACTGCGGTACTTCTTCGTCAAGGACGAAGTTGACAAAGGCAAAGTTGACCTGACATACTGCCCAATGGGTGACATGGCAGCAGACTTCCTCACGAAGAAAGTGCCGCGTCAGCAGTACCAGCACTGCTCCAAACTCAGCGGGGTAGTCAAGCGGGTCAATGCTCGCTACGGCCAGGAGTGAAGGGGGGTGTTACGAATAGTGGTTAATGAAAAACACTGTTGCGCACTCCTCACCGTAGCAAAGCCGAAGCACGCACTATCGAGAGTGAAGACGAAAAGGCAAAAGAAAGGCGAAGGGACAGACGGTTACGAGGAGCATCTGGACCGTCGGGCAAACAGCATCAGGCAGCAGCAGTGGCGAGGATTCTGCCCGAACAGTTACGTAACCACTCGGAGTCGCACGGTTGGATTTCGCTGCAATAAGGGAATGTACCCCTTAGAGTACATGGCTAGTTAGGTCGTTTCGAATTCCCCTGTACTCATATTTATATTCCTTATACTGCACGTTTTTATCATCTCAAGCATTTACATTCACTCTGCTATTGAGGTCAAGGGCCCACCACCACTAGACTAGAATTGTGCGAACCTTCCTGAGGTGATCCTGGTTACGATCACTTTCTGATTCTAGCATTGCTTACTTGTACTGCTATAACTTGCACCATATTTATACCATGCTACAGGGAGTCCTATGAAATGCTGATTAGTTACATAGCTTCACTCCCAAATTAATAACGGCTTAAGGTATCTGTTCATATGCTTCACTTCAGAAATGATTCTGTCTGTGAGGTTCGGATGGATCACAGAATGGTCAGGAGACCATAACTCGGTTGAGCGTGCCATGTCACGGCTTCTGGTCAACTCATCAGTGGCTTTAAAGCGAAGCCCTGGTTCTTGATACACCAACGCAACCTAGAAATCAAACAGACAAAAAAAAAAAAGACACAGACAGGCAACAAGTAGTAGAAAACATACAGTGGACGCACTATCGGAAGAGCGCGGTCGCAAGCATGAGAATATGGCATTAAAAAAAAGGGAGGAGAAACAGCAGAAACAAGAATGTCGGCCATGAGGAATTCACATACCTGATGGCCAGAGAGCCACACATGCTGGCAGAGGTCCCAATCCGATAGTGCATCTATACCTCCGTCGATCGTACTGAACCCCCCCACCTTCACAAACACGTCTCGCCTCGCCGCCATTGGCCCTGTCACCGTCCCCAACACAAAGCTCATCCTCACCCCTGTAACCGGATCTCTCAGTCTGTTCCAAAACTGATCCCCCGCATTCCGCACCTCCCCCAGCTGCAGGCTTCCTGGAACATTCCTCAGCCCCATCTTCCCCATCGAATGCCCTGCGATTCCCAGCCGGGGCCATGCCGAGAAAGGCGAGACGAGATTCGCCGCCCAGTCGCAGGAGTCGGGCGGCAGATCGCCGCCCGCGAGGAGAATGAGGACGGAGCCGCGGGCGAGGAGGGAGAGGAGGTTGTAGGCTCGGGCGGCACCCATGCGGGATGGCGCGAGGATGTGCGTGAGAAACGAACCTGGAGCGGTTCGGCGGGTGGTTTGGATCCAATCTGCAGGGTTGTAGTACTTCTCAAACCCTGGCACTGTGCCTGGTATGCCTTCAGTGCTGTTATTGCCACTGCCGCTGCTGCTGTTGCTGCTGCTGCTCTTATCCCCACTGCCGCTCCCACCAGAGGTTTTCCCACGGCGGACCATGGCAGAGGCTTGGTGCAGGGGAATGGAGGGACCATCTAGTAACACAAGGGCTTCAGAGGTGAGCCCTCCCAGCCGCTCGCCTATGCTGCCCGCCCTGAGCCGCCCATGCGTGCACTCATACAGCTTGGAGACGAGATCCAGGGCGGCTGTGGTGGGCGGCGATGTGTAGATGAGGAAGGAGATGTTCACTGCAGCTGCTGACGTGGCAGGTGATGACGTGGCTGATTCGGGGGGTGAGCTGACGCTGGATGAACCTGGAGATTCGGCTGAATGGGAGTGGGTATGAGCATCAGCTGTAGCAGCATCTGTAGCAGTTGTGGATTGCCCTGCTACAGATGAGCCAGCTGTAGCCGGCGATTGAGACGCCGACGAGAGTAAGGAGGAGAAGGGGGAGGAGGAGAACGGGGAGGAGGCAGGAGAATCGAAGGCATAGGAGTGAGGGAAGGCGGGAAACGCGGAAGTATGGGTGGGGAAGGAAAGGTCCCAAAGGGGTTGTCGCCACAGAGCAGAGGGTGCTAAGGGCCCTGACAGGGGGCCTGACTCCTTCATAGGGTCAGTCTCCGTCCCTGCTCTTGCTTCTGTCTCTCCGCTGCTCTTGCTTGTTCTGTTCTTTCCTTCCCCCTCTTCTTCTGATATTCGACTGGCCAGAGCGCAAGGAGACACGTCAGCACCCTCGGGGCTCACCCAGGAGCTGCTGACGTGGCACAGCTCAGGAAGCTTCCCCTTGGCTTCCTTCATGGCAGCAGCAGCATGGTAGGTGCGCAGTTTAAGTGCCAGGACCGTGCCGTTCTGGCTGTTAGCTAAGCTTTGCATGGTTGAGATGCGTGAGGGGTGGTGGTCAGTAGAGAGGAATATGGAGGGGAAATGGGATGCAGAGAAGAGAAGGTCTGACCACAGTGATGCTTCTGCTGGACACACGGGGAGGGGGATGGCAGAAGGGGATGGGGGGGAGAAAGCAGAGGGGGATCAGTGGGTGTTTAACTGGTGGATGGAGGTCGGCAGAGAGGAATACGGATGAGAAGTGGGACGCGGAGAAGAGGATATCCGCCCACAGTGATACTTCTGCTGGGCATACGAGGGGAAGGGGAGAAGGGTTGGAGGGAGGGGGTGGGTGGGTGGTACAGCAGGTTGGGCTGCTCTCTCAGGCGCTGCACTTTCTCTCCACTGCGTTGAGGTGGTTTTTGAGGCGCCTCACAAACCACCTCAATGCGGGTGGGTGGTGGAGCAGGTTGGGTCTCAGGCGCTGCACTTTCTCTCCACTGCGCGGCTGCTTGAGCACTGATACAGCCGTGTGCTTGCTTTTGAGTCGACTCAAAAGCGGCTGCTCGAGCACTGATAGAGCTGTGTGCTCCAGTGAAAAAGGTGCAAGTAGACTCACCAGGCGCATCAAGGGAAGAGAAGAAGGTGTTTCTAGCAGCAGGCGAGGAGAGCAGGCTGGGCTGCTCCCTCAATTGCTGGAGTTTCTCCGCGCTGCCCGGCTGCTTGAGCACTGATAGAGCCGTGAGGCGGAGTGAAAATACAACAAGCAGACTCTACCTGGTGCATCAAGGGAGGAGAGAAAGGCGCTTCTAGCAGCAGGCGAGGAGAGCAGGCTGGGATGCTCCCACAGGCGCTGCACTCTCTCTACACTGCCCGCCTGCTTGAGCACTGATAGAGCCACGAGGAGGAGTGTTAATAAAGCAAGCACACTCACCAAGTGGGTCAAGGGAGGAAAGGAAGGCGTTTCTAGCAGCAGGCGAGGAGAGGAGGTTGGGTTGCTCCTTCAGTCGCTGCAGCTTCTCCACGCTCCCTGGCTGCTTGAGCACTGATAGAGCCGTGAGGCGGAGGGCGAGTGTGGCGTGCGCTGCCATGTATGCTTGCATGGCTGATGGGAGGGAGAGGAGCAGATAAAAGAAGCGGCAAGACACTATCAGAGTATGTTTGAACACACACAAACAAAGAAAAACAAAAACGAAACAAAGAACAAAACAAAACAACGCAAGAATGTGCAGCAGCACAGCAGGGAATGTGGCATGAAGCTACTCGCACCGCTATTTACACTCACCTTGTGTGTGCGCCTGCTGGGCCTCTTGGGTGTGCTGCAGAGCAGCAGCACAGCGGGAGAAGCTGAAGCGCAAGTCAGCGTGCACGGCTCGCTCTATCTCCTCGCGTAGAGACAGCACCCGCACCTGGGCGGTGTGGAAGGGGAGGATGGGGTTTGGAAGCGTCCCACATTTTACTCGAGCAGAAAAATAAGCCCGCCCACACCACAATCATCGTCTCATGCTCTCATAGTCTCCCACCCACCTGTGCTCTCACCACCAGCTCCTCCTCCTTGGCATCCACATCCGGCCGCCGCCTCGCAGTCAGTGCAGCAACCTCCCTCAGCTCTGCCAGCGGCGATGGCAGGTGCCTGTCCTCTGCACTGCATATACAAGCACCCACACCCATACTCGCTGCCTCACCTGCGCTCTCACCACCAGCTCCTCCTCTTTTGCATCCACATCCGGCCGCCGCCTCGCAGTCAGTGCAGCAATCTCCCTCAGCTCTGGTGGCGGTGATGGCAGGTGCCTGTCGTCCACATAGAAGGTCAGCACGCGCTGGTCCTGTACCAGCTTGATCTCCTGGTTACCACATGGTGCCGATGTTTGAAAACAACCATGTGAAAGGGAACAGAAGGACCAGCGTGCATTGGTGGAGGGAAAAACAAATCGAGATGGCAATGGTGATGGATGCAAACAGTACGGGGGAAGGGAAGGGCAAAGTGGGAGGAGGACAAGGGGAGGGGAACAGAAGTTCATCTCCAAAATTCTCCAACATGTCAAAAACGAAGGTTGTTCCACTCTCGTCAATGCTCAGCTCATGAATGCTCAACCTGACCTCTTTTTTCCCCAGTAGGGAGTTTTACCTTGAGAATTCTCACCTTGAGAATGCTCACCTTGAGGATGCTCTTAAGCTGAGCCATGCGTGTCCTTGCTTCCAGCATCACCGTCTGCCGCAGCTTCCCCAGAGCACGCCGCAGCTCCGTGTTTCGCACCAGCAGCTCCTCTGCCTCCGCCTGAACGCCTGCCACGTCACCTCTCCACGTGGCGTTGCTGGCAGCGTCCACGTCAGCAGCCACGTCAGCCGCCACAGCATCAGCAGCCACGTTGGCAGCGTCAGCAGATGCTGACATGGGCATGGAAACACCAGCAGGAGCAGTGGAGGTAGCAGCGGTTGCAGCAGTGGTGGGTATGAAAGCGATTGGGGAGGAGAAAGTGGTGGTTGCTACGGCAGGAGAAGGCGGAGGAGGAGGTAAGACCTGAAGAGCAAAGAGGGGAGGAGAGAGTAATCAGATGATGGAAAGGAAAGGCAAACACTCATCCGTTGCTATTAGTAACCAGTTCGTTAGGCCAACTGGTCCAGTATTTCGAAAATGGTCATGGAAGACAAGTCGGCCTAATGTTTTTAAAATTCATAACATGTGGAAAAGATGCTTTGGAACAGTAAAGAGTGGGAATGAAGGAAAGAGGGGACGAAGGGAGTGCAGTGAGAGGAAAGCAGCACTGCACTCACGGCATGAACGATGATTGCGGTTAAAATCCCTCCCAGGAGCGAGCCAATGAGAAACGATGCGACCCACCCAACAGTTGTTCGCCTGTGATTGGGGACAGGTGGAGATCGAGTGAAAGCGACAGCTGTACGAGAAGGCAGGGCGACGAGGAGCTGAGATGGAATTCGGTACGGTACCATGGGGTTCGTAAGGTTGTCCTAAAACAAACGAACCCACTGAATTGATGAAAGTATGGCTTCCGCAGCCCACCTGTCCACCTCTTACTAATGTTGCACGAACAGGCAGGACGATGGCGGTAAGGGCAGAGGGAATTTCTGGTGGAGCGGTGAAATGTGTGGAAATCGGAAAGAGCACCAAGGTAGAGCTGAGATGGAATGCGGTACGGTAACATGACGAGGCTCATAATTTCCTGTTTGGTTCTTAACAACGATTAACGGTCGCCGGAATATCCTCGTCGTACCTTGACGGCGCGTCATCAGAGCCGTTGGACCTCACTGAAAGAGCTGCCTTAATGAGGTGACTTTTGGGTTGAGTCAAATCAAAAGTCACGTCTGCTGGAAGATCCTCGTCGTACCTTGACGGCGCGTCATCAGAGCTGCTGGACCTCACTGAAAGTGCTGCCTTGGTTACAACGGCAGTCGCTACATTCGCACCACTCGTTCACGAAGCACCGCTTGTTGGAGCAGTCCGAGTCGCACTGCCCCTCCCGTGACCGAAGCCACTGGACCGCATCGTCAAGTCCACTAATTATTGCGACGTTTTAGTCGGGAAATCGATGTATTTCGACAGGATTAATATTTTTCTTCCTGCTAAAGCGGAATGCAAGGAAATGGATTACTAGGTCTTTCAGGGCTCCTGATAAGGCTGTAAAGTCCACCCGCAGCCTGCCGCGAATTGCGAGCATGAAACTGGAACTCGTTATCTATGGGGATTGCTGAGCAGATATGCGAAATTCGATAAGGTGAGAACGCGTTTATAGAAACCCAACAAACATAACAACAGGTGACTGCCTGAGTGTTATTACATTAATAACTGATGAGTCTTAATTTGGGAAGTTTGTTCAATGCTTTACATCAGATGACGGACTGCATTAAGCTATCCTTCGAATCCACAACATGTATTTCGAATCTAACATTACTTATGTCACTCCTTACAACTTTTCAATGCCAACCAACGACAAACTGTGTACGGTATATGTAGTGTACGTTGAGCTTTGTTCCTCTTTCCAGTGTACAATATCTCAATGCTGAGTGTAAGAATTGCGACCACTAGACCACTGGCACTGGGATCAAATGGCTTATTTGTGTAGCGGGTCAGTGTGCCCATAGTACCCCCCTAGGATCAATCAGGGATCTCCTAATGTAGCTCTACTGACACTGAGTTCATTCACCAGCCTAATGACCTCAACAAAAAAACTGTTGAAAACTGCTTAAAGCTGTGCATTCTGAAGTGTTGCTGTGTAATCACCTCACACCCTATCAACACTTTCCTTCCACTTCCAAATATACAATAACATCTGATACACCACACCATGCATCAATATCACTGAGCACTTGCCACAAAGGCCTTTTCCCCTCACATCTAGGCCTCCGAGAGAATGAAACAGGATAGATACCTCCTGCACTATCCTGAAGAGATATTACTTCTGCTGCTGCTCTTTTCATGCTGCGGCCTTGCCCTCTTGTGAGACCCCAGATCCTGGTTTAGAGGCTCTATGTACTTGTGGAGATTCTGGCCTCCCGATTGCAGCCATTTCGTCAGGCGAGTTGGTCAGGAAATCGAAGACTTCTTTGTTCCACGGCTGGTTACCACTCGCAGGACACGGCGCCTTGAATTCCGTCGCAAGCCACGCATCCACAATCTCTTGACCTTTCTCAGGAGAAGTCTGAAATTGACCCATGCAGAGTACGTTACAATTATTTATCGACCTGGCGTTCTTAGCCACGTCAGCGGTGTCGCACAGCACGGCGTAGACTGTCGGGATTTTATTCGCGAAAACTGTAACGCCGGTGCCGGTTCCACACACAAGCAGCCCACGCGTGTCGCAGGTAGGAGAATTTGTCGCCGAGCGGTCGGCTGCGACGCTTTTGGCGACGCGTTCAGCTGCCGTGTAGTACTTGTCTTCGCCGTAGTCTTCAACATGTATGCCTTTCGAGCGAAGATAACTAACCATGGCGCTTCTAAGAGTCGCGCCGTATGAATCAGATGCCGCGTAGACACGAATCGCCGGCTTGGCGGACTCCATGATTGTTCGCACTGAGGTGGCTTCAGTTTCGATTGACGGTGCCACCTAGGTTCAATCGGAAGGATAGAGAAAATTTGGTGGGATCGGCGTGTTAGAAAGCTGAAATTACGACACATAGACGTTGAGACGCTACGAAATCAAGAAAATCGAGTTACGAAAGACGAATCGAATTTGGGGAAAATGAGCAAAATGAGAAGAACAGGATGTGCAAGGAAGGAGGATGGATGGAATACAGATGGGGTAGGGCGCGTTCCGTTCCATGAACGACTCCAGTTCCACCACCGCAAAATGTATACTGAGCCGTCAGAAGTTGAGGAACATGACACGTGGATAGGTTTGTGAAGCTCATTGGTCAAGACCAGGTCATGCAGCCAGCGCGACAAAAGTGTACGTTTCCAGCACCCGTGTCCCTAGAATTTTGCGGAGCGGGCATGTGGGAAGAGCTTGGATTGGTCAGATAGTGTTGAGACCGCGTTGACCACGCATCCGCACTAGATGCCTACTCTTGACTACTCTAAGAGCAAGAGCCATATGACCAAGCACACCAACCCTGTCACAACGATCTGAGTAAATCCAACGCTCTAATAAAGTCAGTCGTAGGTGCAACTTCAAACGTTAATAGTTCGAGTTTATGCGGGTGAACAAACCTGCTCACACAGAACAAAGACAAAAAATGTAAGTTCTTCGTAGAGCCCATACACATAATAAGCATCCCCATCAATAACCCATAAGTTGGTTCGTGCACTCACCCAAGTGTGGCTGCATGAAGCAGGGGGCGATCCAGCCCAGCAATCCATTGTACCACAGACGAGCGGAGAGGTGAAGAGGAGGGCAACGATGCCAGGAGGCGCGATGACACATGGCGCGTCGATCCACCGTACGTTTCATCGCCGATCAACGGATGGCCCAGGAGCCGTGCATGTACTCTGATCTGCCAACAGGGAAGGTCCAAGACAGCAGAGGAGAGAACACTTATTGTAACAGGCGAGTGATGGTGACAATTGGCAGAACAGACTTCTATAGACATTACAAACTGAAACTTCCCACTCTCCATACGAGCCTTATGGTCTTAGAGATGCAACTCAGACTCCTAAAGAAGCCCTAACACAACTTGGCTAACAGTTTCCCATAACAACAAAGAGCCTCCTACTCACTGACATCCCCAACTCACCCACCTGGCGCCTCACACCCACCTGGTGCGTCCTCCCTTTTTCCAGCCTCCACTCCACGAGCTCAGCTGCTCCTCCTGCCAGTGACTCCAGCACCCGGTACCTGGTCATCAGTCACGCACATTACATGCACGACAGGCAGAACAAGGTGACTACCGTACATGCACTGAAATCGGCTTAATGGTATCAACAGATCGCCTCCAGCCTCCACTCCACCAGCGCAGCTGCTCCTCCTGCCAGTGACTTCAACACCCGGTACCTGGTCATCAGTCACGGGAAGAACAGGAATGACAGGCACTACAGACGTTGATTTTACAGTGATTTTACAGTGATTTTACAGATAACTCAAATATCACCTCCTCCCTCCACAGCTGCTTCCTCCTGCAGGGTGTTTTTGAGAATTCTCAAAAACATTTTACAGTTAACTCAAATATCACCTCCTCCCTCCACAGCTGCTTCCTCCTGCAAGGTGTTTTTGAGAATTCTCAAAAACATTTTACAGTTAACTCAAATATCACTTCCTGCCCCCACAGCTGCTTCCTCCAGCAACCGACCCAGCACCCAGTACCTGGCCATGACATGCATGAGTCATGACATGCATGAGTCATGACATGCATGAGTCATGACATGCATGAGTCATGACATGCATGAGTCATGACATGCATGAGTCATGACATGCATGAGTCACGACATGCATGAGTCATGACATGCGTGAGTCACGACATGCATGAGTCATGACATGCATGAGTCACGACATGCATGAGTCATGACATGCATGAGTCACGACATGCATGAGTCATGACATGCATGAGTCATGACATGCATGAGTCATGACATGCATGAGTCATGACATGCAGGAGCCACGACAGGCAGGCAGGAGCCATGACAGGCATAAATCACGAGAGGAAGGACTGCCATGCGCTCTACCATTATTGAGACAACGCAAAATTTCCTCGCAGACCAGCTCCAGTTTCACCTGCTAATTGATCGTCTGATCCGGTGGGAGCCTGTGAGGCGCAGCACTGCCACAATTGAGCCATTCAGAAAGTAAAATCAGAGCCGTTCTACTCCCCCCAGTTGCTGGCGGCTCGTCTGCTCCGGTGAGAGTCTGTGAGAGGCAGCACCTGTGAGAGGCAGCACCTGTGAGAGGCAGAACTGCCATTATTGAGATCATTGAAGTCATCTCAGAGCCATTTCATTCCCACCTGCTCGCAGCTGGAGTGGGAACAAATAAGAGATCTCACCTGCTGGCGGCTCGTCTGCTGCGGTGAGAGCCCGTGAGAGGCAGCACGGCCATGCGCTTGCGGTCCTTGGGGTCTCGACCAATGGGCGCATCCACACGATCGGAGAGGGGAGACGGCGTGCCTGCATGCATAGGTGGGAGGAGGGGGTGAGGGGGGGGGGGAAGGGGGGGGGGGGCGGGTAGTGTTGGTTTGGGTGGACCAAAAAAAAAAAAAAGCGGCCCTTGGGGTCTTGACCAATGGGCGCATCCACACGGTCGGAGAGGGGAGACGGCGTGCCTGCATGCATAGGTGGGAGGGGGGGGGAAGGGGGGGAAGAGGGGCGTTGTTGGTTTGGGTGGAATCGAAAAGCGGTCCTTGGGGTCTCGACCAATAGGGGCATCCACGCGGTCGGCGAGAGGAGAGGGTGTGCCTGCATGCATGGTTGGGAGGGGGAAATGTTAGTCCCTCTAGACAAATTATTTTGTCTTTTGTCTTTTGGGTGACAAAAAATACGGCGATCCTTCATACATGCGTTTACAAGGAAGAACAGAGGTTATTTTTTTCCACTGTGCGCTTTGAAGCGCACTCGGATGCATTCTCGGTTGACTCGAATACACACGAGTAGCCTGTGTGATGCACTGAGTTTCTTACCAATGACAAGAGAGAGGTAGCTTCTGTGCACGGTTCGTGCCTTGAACTGCGCACTCAGGTGAGCCTGGCTGAACGGGTCCTGGCGATGGGAAGTCGGGGGAGGGAGGGGAGGAGGTGAAAAGAAGCAGGAAATGATGAGAGGTTGAGGGTGGGGAGCGGTCGTTTGTTCGTGAGGAGAGGTAGCTTTTGAGGCGCCTCAGGAAGGGTCGTTTGTTCGTGAGGAGAGGTAGTAGCTTCCGTGCACTGAGCGTGCCTTGAACTGCGCACTCAGATGAGCCTGGCTGAACGGGTCCTGGCGGTTGGAGTCACATGGGAGGAGAAATGAGGTGGGTGGTGAGGAGAAGTGAAAAGTGGGAAGAGGTAGCTCCTGTGCACGGTGCGTGCCTTGAACTGCGCACTCAGGTGAGCCTGGCTGAACGGGTCCTGGCGGATGGGGATTGATGGGTGGTGAGATGAGGAGGAGGCGAGGAGGTGAGGGATGGGGAAGAATGCGCGTAAGAGTGATGAGGATGGGGATGGGGATTGATGGGTGGTGAGATGAGGAGGAGGCGAGGAGGTGAGGGATGGGGAAGAATGCGCGTAAGAGTGATGAGGATGGGGATGGGGATTGATGGGTGGTGAGATGAGGAGGAGGCGAGGAGGTGAGGGATGGGGAAGAATGCGCGTAAGAGTGATGAGGATGGGGATGGGGATTGATGGGTGGTGAGATGAGGAGGAGGCGAGGAGGTGAGGGATGGGGAAGAATGCGCGTAAGAGTGATGAGGATGGGGATGGGGATTGATGGGTGGTGAGATGAGGAGGAGGCGAGGAGGTGAGGGATGGGGAAGAATGCGCGTAAGAGTGATGAGGATGGGGATGGGGATTGATGGGTGGTGAGATGAGGAGGAGGCGAGGAGGTGAGGGATGGGGAAGAATGCGCGTAAGAGTGATGAGGATGGGGATGGGGATTGATGGGTGGTGAGATGAGGAGGAGGCGAGGAGGTGAGGGATGGGGAAGAATGCGCGTAAGAGTGATGAGGATGGGGATGGGGATTGATGGGTGGTGAGATGAGGAGGAGGCGAGGAGGTGAGGGATGGGGAAGAATGCGCGTAAGAGTGATGAGGATGGGGATGGGGATTGATGGGTGGTGAGATGAGGAGGAGGCGAGGAGGTGAGGGATGGGGAAGAATGCGCGTAAGAGTGATGAGGATGGGGATGGGGATTGATGGGTGGTGAGATGAGGAGGAGCCATGGTGCTGCACCCAGCCTCCCTCCGCTCGCCTCACCTTGGCCACCACAAGCAGCCCGCTCGTTCCCTTGACCAGCCGATGCACTATTCCAGCCCACGGCCCAGCCCGAGCTGCTATCTCACAGCCCAGCCCAGGCCAGGCTGTCTCCCCTCTCCCTCATCTCACCTTGGCTACCACAAGCAGCCCGCTCGTTCCCTTGTCCAGCCGATGCACTATCCCAGCCCACAGCCCAGCGTAAGTCCTTCCCTTCCCCTCCCCCACCTCACCTCCCATTGCCTGTCAACTCACAACCCAGGCCAAGCCATCTCCCCCTTTCCCTCATCTCACCTTGGCTACCACAAGAAGCCCGCTTGTTCCCTTGTCCAGCCGATGCACTATCCCAGGCCGCACATGTGCCCCCCCTGTTATGCTTGCTCTCACTCCCACCTCTGCTCCCTGTCCCTCCTTCCCCTCCTCTCCCTCGTCCCCTTCTTCAATTTCCTCCTCGTCCTCATCCCCCTCCTCATCCTCCTCCTCATCCCAACCAGCTGCTACAGAAGACTGAGAGTCCCCTACCCTCTCCCCCACTCCTTTCATGGAGGGCAAATCGGACCCAGGGAATGAGGAGGAGGAGGAGGAGGAGGAGGAGGAGGAGGAGGAGGAGGAGGAGGAGGAGGAGGAGGAGGAGGAGGAGGAGGAGAGCTGGTAGTGGTGCAGTAGTGCGTTCACGAGAGTGCCTTGCCAATTGCCTGCAGCGGGATGCACCACCTGCTCTGGAGGGGAGGGTGGCGCACGAGAGGAGGATAGGAGAGGGGTGCATGAGATCAGAGGGGTCAATTCGGGACAATCAGACAGGTAGCAGAAAGCGAGGTGCAACGAGGGTGAATAGGGTTATTGGATAACCAATACACATCCTAGAACAGGAAATGTAAAGAAAGGAAAACAAAAACAAAAGCATTTGGCAATGATATGCCATGCCACATTCAGCACAATGGATGGAGAGAAATTCTTCCTTGCGTCACAGTGCAACGCAACCAATAGGGGAAAAGAACCAACAAAAAGAAAGGAAAAATAAAAAAAGAGGATACAGAGACAAGACAATTACCATATGCGGAGCCTTGTTGACCACTACCACGTGGTCATCCTCATGCACCACGTGCAGGGCAATGGCGGATGGCTCCAACGCGTGCTGTGACTGGGGCGTAGCGAACGGAAGGAAGAGAGACCACGTACCATGTGCGGAGCCTTGTTGATCACGACCACGTGGTCATCCTCATGCACCACGTGCAGGGCAATGGCGGATGGCTCCAATGCGTGCTGTGACTGGGGCGGGGCAAGACTGCCCTGCACCCTGTCGCCCTCCCTCACTGCATACGACGGCTGGACGAGGGGAGGAATGGCGAGGCCAGGAATTGGGGGGGGGTGGGGGAAACGGAGAAGAGGTGGGAACGGAGGAGTGGGGTCAGAGAGAGAAACTGCCATTGCACCCTGTCGCCCTCCCTCACTGCATACGATGGCTGGAAGGTGTTTGTGGGAAGGCAGGGGAATGGGGAATTGAGAGAGATAAGGAAGATGGAAGAATGAGAACGAGCGAGTCGAGACCACCCTGAGAACGAGCGAGTCGAGACCACCCTCAGCTCAGCCTCCCTCCCTCTCTCTGCGTGCCTCCCTCCCTCTCTCTGCGTGCCTCCCTCCCTCTCTCTGCGTGCCTCCCTCCCTCTCTCTGCGTGCCTCCCTCCCTCTCTCTGCGTGCCTCCCTCCCTCTCTCTGCGTGCCTCCCTCCCTCTCTCTGCGTGCCTCCCTCCCTCTCTCTGCGTGCCTCCCTCCCTCTCTCTGCGTGCCTCCCTCCCTCTCTCTGCGTGCCTCCCTCCCTCTCTCTGCGTGCCTCCCTCCCTCTCTCTGCGTGCCTCCCTCCCTCTCTCTGCGTGCCTCCCTCCCTCTCTCTGCGTGCCTCCCTCCCTCTCTCTGCGTGCCTCCCTCCCTCTCTCTGCGTGCCTCCCTCCCTCTCTCTGCGTGCCTCCCTCCCTCTCTCTGCGTGCCTCCCACCCTCTCTCTGCGTGCCTCCCTCCCTCTCTCTGCGTGCCTCCCTCCCTCTCTCTGCGTGCCTCCCTCCCTCTCTCTGCGTGCCTCCCTCCCTCTCTCTGCGTGCCTCCCTCCATCTCTCTACGTGCCTCCCTCCCTCTCTCTACGTGCCTCCCTCCCTCTCTCTGCGTGCCTCCCTCCCTCTCTCTGCGTGCCTCCCTCCCTCTCTCTGCGTGCCTCCCTCCATCTCTCTACGTGCCTGCCTCCCTCTCTCTACGTGCCTCCCTCCCTCTCTCTGCGTACCTCCCTCCCTCTCTCTGCGTTCCTCCCTCCATCTCTCTGCGTGCCTCCCTCCATCTCTCTGCGTGCCTCCCTCCCTTTCTCTGCGTGCCTCCCTCCATCTCTCTACGTGCCTCCCTCCATCTCTCTGCGTGCCTCCCTCCCTCTCTCTGCGTACCTCCCTCCATCTCTCTGCGTGCCTCCCTCCATCTCTCTACGTGCCTCCCTCCCTCTCTCTGCGTGCCTCCCTCCATCTCTCTACGTGCCTCCCTCCATCTCTCTACGTGCCTCCCTCCCTCTCTCTGCGTGCCTCCCTCCATCTCTCTGCGTGCCTCCCTCCCTCTCTCTGCGTGCCTCCCTCCCTCTCTCTGCGTGCCTCCCTCCATCTCTCTGCGTGCCTCCCTCCATCTCTCTGCGTGCCTCCCTCCCTTTCTCTGCGTGCCTCCCTCCATCTCTCTGCGTGCCTCCCTCCATCTCTCTGCGTGCCTCCCTCCATCTCTCTGCGTGCCTCCCTCCATCTCTCTGCGTGCCTCCCTCCATCTCTCTGCGTGCCTCCCTCCCTCTCTCTGCGTGCCTCCCTCCATCTCTCTACGTGCCTCCCTCCCTCTCTCTACGTGCCTCCCTCCCTCTCTCTGCGTGCCTCCCTCCATCTCTCTGCGTGCCTCCCTCCATCTCTCTGCGTGCCTCCCTCCCTTTCTCTGCGTGCCTCCCTCCATCTCTCTACGTGCCTCCCTCCATCTCTCTGCGTGCCTCCCTCCCTCTCTCTGCGTGCCTCCCTCCATCTCTCTGCGTGCCTCCCTCCCTTTCTCTGCGTGCCTCCCTCCCTCTCTCTACGTGCCTCCCTCCCTCTCTCTGCGTGCCTCCCTCCATCTCTCTACGTGCCTCCCTCCATCTCTCTGCGTGCCTCCCTCCCTCTCTCTGCGTGCCTCCCTCCATCTCTCTGCGTGCCTCCCTCCCTTTCTCTGCGTGCCTCCCTCCCTCTCTCTACGTGCCTCCCTCCCTCTCTCTGCGTGCCTCCCTCCATCTCTCTGCGTGCCTCCCTCCATCTCTCTGCGTGCCTCCCTCCATCTCTCTGCGTGCCTCCCTCCATCTCTCTGCGTGCCTCCCTCCATCTCTCTGCGTGCCTCCCTCCCTCTCTCTGCGTGCCTCCCTCCATCTCTCTACGTGCCTCCCTCCCTCTCTCTACGTGCCTCCCTCCCTCCCTCTGCGTGCCTCCCTCCATCTCTCTGCGTGCCTCCCTCCATCTCTCTGCGTGCCTCCCTCCCTTTCTCTGCGTGCCTCCCTCCATCTCTCTACGTGCCTCCCTCCATCTCTCTGCGTGCCTCCCTCCCTCTCTCTGCGTGCCTCCCTCCATCTCTCTGCGTGCCTCCCTCCCTTTCTCTGCGTGCCTCCCTCCCTCTCTCTACGTGCCTCCCTCCCTCTCTCTGCGTGCCTCCCTCCATCTCTCTGCGTGCCTCCCTCCCTCTCTCTGCGTGCCTCCCTCCATCTCTCTGCGTGCCTCCCTCCCTCTCTCTGCGTGCCTCCCTCCCTCTCTCTGCGTGCCTCCCTCCATCTCTCTACGTGCCTCCCTCCCTCTCTCTACGTGCCTCCCTCCCTCTCTCTGCGTGCCTCCCTCCATCTCTCTGCGTGCCTCCCTCCATCTCTCTGCGTGCCTCCCTCCCTTTCTCTGCGTGCCTCCCTCCATCTCTCTACGTGCCTCCCTCCATCTCTCTGCGTGCCTCCCTCCCTCTCTCTGCGTGCCTCCCTCCATCTCTCTGCGTGCCTCCCTCCATCTCTCTGCGTGCCTCCCTCCCTCTCTCTGCGTGCCTCCCTCCATCTCTCTACGTGCCTCCCTCCCTCTCTCTACGTGCCTCCCTCCCTCTCTCTGCGTGCCTCCCTCCATCTCTCTGCGTGCCTCCCTCCATCTCTCTGCGTGCCTCCCTCCCTTTCTCTGCGTGCCTCCCTCCATCTCTCTACGTGCCTCCCTCCATCTCTCTGCGTGCCTCCCTCCCTCTCTCTGCGTGCCTCCCTCCATCTCTCTGCGTGCCTCCCTCCCTTTCTCTGCGTGCCTCCCTCCCTCTCTCTACGTGCCTCCCTCCCTCTCTCTGCGTGCCTCCCTCCATCTCTCTGCGTGCCTCCCTCCCTCTCTCTGCGTGCCTCCCTCCATCTCTCTGCGTGCCTCCCTCCCTCTCTCTGCGTGCCTCCCTCCATCTCTCTACGTGCCTCCCTCCATCTCTCTGCGTGCCTCCCTCCCTCTCTCTGCGTGCCTCCCTCCATCTCTCTACGTGCCTCCCTCCATCTCTCTGCGTGCCTCCCTCCCTCTCTCTGCGTGCCTCCCTCCCTCTCTCTGCGTGCCTCCCTCCATCTCTCTGCGTGCCTCCCTCCCTCTCTCTGCGTGCCTCCCTCCATCTCTCTACGTGCCTCCCTCCCTCTCTCTACGTGCCTCCCTCCCTCTCTCTGCGTGCCTCCCTCCATCTCTCTGCGTGCCTCCCTCCCTCTCTCTGCGTGCCTCCCTCCATCTCTCTACGTGCCTCCCTCCATCTCTCTGCGTGCCTCCCTCCCTCTCTCTGCGTGCCTCCCTCCATCTCTCTACGTGCCTCCCTCCATCTCTCTGCGTGCCTCCCTCCCTCTCTCTGCGTGCCTCCCTCCATCTCTCTGCGTGCCTCCCTCCATCTCTCTGCGTGCCTCCCTCCATCTCTCTGCGTGCCTCCCTCCCTCTCTCTGCGTGCCTCCCTCCATCTCTCTGCGTGCCTCCCTCCCTCTCTCTGCGTGCCTCCCTCCATCTCTCTGCGTGCCTCCCTCCCTCTCTCTGCGTGCCTCCCTCCATCTCTCTACGTGCCTCCCTCCATCTCTCTGCGTGCCTCCCTCCCTCTCTCTGCGTGCCTCCCTCCATCTCTCTGCGTGCCTCCCTCCATCTCTCTGCGTGCCTCCCTCCATCTCTCTGCGTGCCTCCCTCCATCTCTCTGCGTGCCTCCCTCCCTCTCACTCTCTGTGCCTCCCTCCCTCTAGCCCTCGTTCTGTGCACGAGCGGCTCAGGACACAGACAAGGGTTGAATGTGAAGGTTCACGGTGGGCTTAAAAGCTGGTGGGAGAGGAACAGCTAGTAGACTACCTTATCTGTCTGTCTGTCTGCCTGTCTGTCTGCCTGCCTGCCTGCTTGCCTGCCTGCCTGTCTGCCTCCCTCCCTGCGATTCCCGCCCTCATGAGAAAACTGAATGGCACCCTCCCTGCTTCTCACCTTCTTCTGGACAGCGCCATTCACCAGCACTTTCCCCTGCCGAATGGCGTCCTGCCACCTGGCACGACTGACGCGCTCCCCCTGTGCTGCCAGAAACGCATCTAGCCGGGATTTGGCCTGGCTCCGAGTGACCACGCCGTCTACAGACTCTTCTGCTACTGTCGCATCCTGAGGTTCCGTTTGGCTAAGGTTCGATACAGAATTTACAGATTCCCCTGTTATTGTCACATTCCGAGGCAGCGTCACCGGGTCCAAGGCTTCGCCCGTTATTGTCACGTCGTTGGTAGATTCTGTTGTGTATTGCGTGCTACCATGCGACGCCGCATTTCTTACACCACGCGACCGAGCAGAGAAGCAGCTTCCAATGCAACGTGTTGTATTCTGACTGGCGAGCTCGCTCGTGCTGACGTGTCTGCTTAGAGGGGTGCGCGGAATTCTGAAGACGTTTCCACGGTTCGTCTCTGAACGCTTGCTAGCGCCCGGAGAATCAATCAGATGAGAAACTGAGTGAATTATGCCAGTCATGCCTAGGGAATTCTTCGAGCTCGTAGCAACATAGAACGAATTCATGGAAATTGCGGCTCGAACCAAAGAGCTACTGACGTTTGAGTCTGTGTACGAATTCGAAATCCCGAGGCCTCTGGGATGAATGGCCAGAATCGCACTGGGTGAAGCGGAGCGCCAATCAAGGGCCAACGAATATGGACTGAGATGCGGAAACGCCGTCACTAATGTGGGCATGCAATTGGCGAACGGCTTCCGTGGATGCCGGAAAAATGAACGAGAATAGCAGGCAATCATACGGTGGTGACTGGGAGTTACTTCTCGGGGCAAGTATGACAATGAGACGAGAGAGTAACCACCTAGTTGCCTTTCAACTAGGCCTCACAAGAGAAGTGTTGCCGCAAGTGACCAATTTCCTGGCAGGAGGATTATTGTTTAGTATTATTTTCTGCTCTTACGCCTTTAATACTGAATCGAGTGGCTCTGTATCCTGCTAATTTAGAAAAGCTGCCTGCGTGGAGAATCCACGCGGAGCAGCGACAACGTGCCACGTGGAAGTACCTTTCCCTAAGCAAAGCAGCACCACTCAGAAGGTTCGGTTCGGTTATGCGTGTTTCGATTACGGTTTAGAGTCTTGCATCTGTTTCCACCGAGCCCAGAAGAACCGAATCGAACAGTACCCTTGCAAATCAAGATTGTTCTCTTGCTGTGTTTTTTTCATATATCCCTGACTTCCAGTCAAATCATCGTGGTTCTGTCCATTACAGCTTCAGGTGCCACGCATTCCCTTCACTGACAAGATTCTCTTCACTGACAGATCACCGTGCTTGCTGGTGACATACGTTTCCGCTCCGTTGTCAAGGTGCAATTCGGCCAGATACCTCTTAGCTGGTCTACGAAGTCTGAGGTGGTCCGCCGTGGTTAGCAACCTTTGAGGCGCCTCAAAAGGTTAGCGACATCACTGATAGTACCAGTCGCAATGGAGGTCCTTGCAGTCCCGCAAGTCCACGCACACATTAGTACCCTACCATCTAGAACCTCTCTCCGACCATCAGCAGAAGAGAGAGACGTCGCCATTAGCAGCAGCAGCAGCCTTGGACGAACCCCGCTTCGATTGACGGCAACTAGAAATCCGCGGGTCTCTTATCAACCTGGCCGTCAATCCCGCCGATCCCACCTTTACCGTCCAGACCTCCGCCGTGTCGCTGTCCACGTCAGCGCTAGCCAATCCGACGGCGATCACACGGGCAGTGAGAGCCATGACTCTGCAGCTGGTGTGGCGGAGGCACCAGCGCGCCACGCTACCAAAGACGAGATGGTCAAATTCATCGAAGGCAATGCGGAGGTGAGTTTTGAGTCGACTTAGAACTCGAACCATGACTGCTGGTGTCGCGGAGGTACCAGCACGTTACGCTACTAAGGACGAGCTGGTCAAATTCATCTCAGGCAATGCGGAGGTACGGCGGTTGAATAAGGACTAGGAGATTAAATTAAATCAATAAAACGTCTCTACTGATAGCAACACTTTTGCAGGCGAAAGAACTCTGAAGATTAAAACGTCTCTAATCCTTGGGCCTCGAACTCTGTCCTATCAGGCGTTTCTTATTAACCTGTTTTTCTGCGATCCCATCCACGCATGATTCGTCAACCGCATCGACCCTCTGGTCCGTATTGGCAGGTGTCTGTAATGGTGGTGGCGGCTACTGATCTGGTCAAAGAGGCTCAGGCACGGCACGGCATGGCCCCCACGGTGAGACGGACATCATCTCTTTGCTTCCTGCAGCCGCAGTTGTGATTTTTAGTTTTTAGTTTTGTCCAAAGCACCAGCCCAGTCACAGTCATGCCTTTAATCCTTTCCGTGAGTTCCGCAGGTGGGAACACTTACCAGGGAAACACTGGCAATATCTGCCTGCTACGTCAAGGAGAGAGAGCTATATCCGCCCTGCCACTCCTATTCTTTCCTTCATGTCCGCCCCTATCACAGGCTGTAGCAGCACTGGGGCGGCTGCTAATGGGGACGCTGCTGCTGGGGGCAATGAAGGGGCCAGACGAATCCGTGCAAGTCACGGTGAACGGCCGGGGGCCCATTGGGCAGATCACGGCTGTTTCAGCGCTGCACGGGGAGGTGAAAGGGTTTGCCGTTAATCCCCTGGCCGATCCTCCTCTCAACTCCAAGGGCAAGGTAGGCAACTCAAGTACGTGCAGTGAACGGCCGGGGGCCTATTGGGCAGATCACGGCTGTTTCAGCACTGCATGGGGAGGTGAAAGGGTTTGCCGTTAATCCGCTGGCCGACTTGCCTCTCAACTCCAAGGGCAAGGTAGGCAACTCAAATACATGAAATGCGATGAACAAGTGCATTTGTCTGTTTGGGACTTCTTCTGATTTCTCGGTCCCCGTTTCGTGCTTCAATGCGTGTCCCTGTTTCTCCGCTTTCCTCTTTCCATGGCCAGATGGACGTGGGGGGTGCAGTGGGCAAGGGAGTGCTTAGCGTCATTCGAACCCATCCCTCCTGGCAGTCGCCTTACACGTGAGCCTTATTAGTGAATAAAGAACATGGTGTTGGTTCATCAATTTCACCTTGATATGATGAGCCTTAGGACGGGATGGGTATTGGTTTTATGGTATGAGGCTCAATATGAAGGTATGAACCTTGATATGAAGGTATAAGCCCTGCTTGACTTGGTACAGCTCTGGCCACACGCTTTTACCATTCATCCCTTTCCATCTCTCCACATTCCTCCACAAGCAGCAGCACTCTGTTATTGGAAACCGCAAAAGGATTAGTAGGTTGTAATTTATAACACTAGCAGCCGCTACTCACCTGCTGCCCCTTTATGCTTTCTGGATTTTTTATACTATGAGCAATGCCCCCTGTTGTCAGGGCAGACTATTTGGCGGAGAGTGAGCGATCCAACCCAGCTTCTTCCCCAATCGCTGTTCCCATCCATCTTTTCACGCAACACCACTTTCAGTGGCACTGTGCCTCTGGTGTCAGGGGAGATCGCAGAGGATTTGGCAAACTACCTGGCGGAGAGTGAGCAGATCAACTCAGCTATGGGGCTGGGAGTGGCAGTGGGCAAGGATGGCATTGTCAGGGCGGCAGGGGGGTTCCTTGTTCAGGTGAGTGGCTGGCTCGACGCCAAACGAGTTGTTTGTCACCTGTGGCTCTGTGCGCCAACTCATCAAGACATTGTGAGGGCGGCAGGCAGGTCCTTGTTCAAGCACTGCTGCCCACGTATTTTCTCTTCAGTGCCATGAATGAAGTGCTTTCTGAGCACCTTCTTCCTTTTCAATCATCCTCTCTTTTCTCAGTATTAGATACACTTATTCTCCTGTTCCATGAACTCTGCATGGCGTCTCATCCTTCTGGCTTGGTCGTTGTCTTACACCTTGGCACCTCTCTCCAGGTCCTTCCCTTCTGCTCGGACGAGACGCTAGACAAGCTAGAGGCCAACGTCCAATCACTGGGCGCCATGTCAGATGCGGTGCAGCGCATGGATGCAGGGGCCATTGCTCACCATCTCTTGCAGGGGTTGGATCCCGAACCTGTCATAGATCCGGTATGTCCGGACCTTGTGCTTGGCATGGTGTGGTTTGATATTGCCGTATAATTTGTCTGCAATGCTGGTTGGGCATGTCACTCGTATACTGGATGCAGTGCAGCATGTGATTGTCAGCCTGTTGTTATCACTGGCAATCGTTGAGAAACGCACTCAGTCTATTCTCCTCTCCTCCCATCCCCTCTCATACAGATTGTGCCTACGTTTGGCCCATGTGGTCTGGAAGACTTGAAGCCTCGCATGCTTAGAGCTGTGGAGTCACTAGGAGCCGAGGACGTGAAGAAACTCATTGAGGAAAGAGGTGAGTGGATGAAATAATCTGGTGTGTCATGTTAATCTCAAGCTCCTCGGAGTAATGATTGGCAATCAAGTTTGGGATTGCTTTGGTCATTCCATCAGATTTGAAGTCCCTTCATTTGTTTTTTCGTGGTGGTGCAGGGTCGGTGGAGGTTCGGTGCGAGTTTTGTGCAGAGGTGGTGGATTTTACAGAGGAAGATTTGCACGATCTTCTAGTGAAAGCAGGAAAGGAATGAAATCAAGGAGAATCTTATGGTTCATGTACTTTTGGCTAGATGTAAGAGTGGTGCTGATCATATCAATAGTGAATCATTTCAGCTTCGGACGTTCTTGCTGGTGAGGTGGCGTTGGGGTCCCCAAGGCCTATGTCAGCCACGGAGCTCGGTAGAGCTTGAGAGCTTGACTTGGCGGGGCGCAGGCGGGAAACTCAACACATGCTCCAATCGCTGCGCCAGATCACGCGGAGATCCCTGTAATTCCACATCGAGCCTCCCTCCAAACCAGAAATCTAGCTTCGAGTTGCTGGTTTGAGAGACACAGGGGCATTCTCGCCTCACCACCAACCAACCCTTCAACCAACAGAAATAATTGTGAGGCAAAGTGAGAGAAAAACTGCAGGCGAGGAAACCCTGATTTCCCCTCTCTGATCATAGGTTGTCTGTCAGTTGTTGAGAAGCAGGCCAACACAGATTCACCAAATTCAGGCTGACGGCTTTCTGAGCTCTCTAGCTGGTGAACTACTTGGCGATCTATAGCTCGGATTCCATTCGGTTTACTAGTTTCGTAACTCGTTCCCTGTTAGTCCTCGTGTTGGACATCTGTTAGGTTTGGAACCAGCAACAATGGCGAACCAAGAGGAGGTTTGGGAGAGGGATCCCGTTTTCAAAAAGCTACGAGCAAAAGCCGAGAACAAGGTTAGAATGAGTCTTAGGTTATGATGTGTATATCCTTGTTGTTTGGATTGTATCTGTTTGGTGTGATCACAGTGGTTCATGCTATGCTGTGCATTATGCATTGTTGTGCGAATCTGCTCGAATCTGCTTCGTTGTCTCTCGACTTTTTCTCTCAGATGTGCTTTGACTGCAATGCGAAGAACCCTACATGGGCATCGGTCACTTACGGAGTCTTCATATGCCTCGACTGTTCAGCGATGCATCGTAGTCTTGGCGTGCACGTCAGCTTTGTCAGGTCCGTTTCCACGAATCTGTCTGAATTCATACTCGGCTGTTGGAACTACTTATTCTTACCCAGTTATTATTTCCCAGGATGTGTATCCTGGCATTCACAAACTTAGGAAAGATTCCCAGAATGTGCCAGACTGCGGGACCCGATGTGTTGCTTTGAAGCCTATCGCGCAGCAACCGGTGTTTTCGGCGATCATCAAAGCCTTGGTGATGTCAATCTTTGTCGCTTATCAGGTCGACAACTCTTGACGGTTGGAGCGTAGAGCAATTGAAGATCATGGCCTTTGGAGGAAACGGCCGAGCGCGTGCGTTCTTCAAGCAGCACGGCTGGACGGACGGAGGCAAGATCGAACAAAAATACACCTCAAGAGCCGCCGAACTCTACCGGCAGCTTCTCGCGAAGGAAGTTGCGAAGAGCTTTGCTGGCGCACAGACATCCCTCCCTTCGCCAACATCGACTAGCCAAACAGCTCCGAATGGCGGTGCTGCAGCGGCAGCGCCGGCTGCTGAGGAGGCCCCGGCTCCTGCCGCTGCTGCTCCTGCTCCCGCTGCTGCAGCGTCGCGAGTCTCTCCGGTTACAAGGAAGACGACGAGCGTAACTGCGAAAAAAACGACCACTAAGTCGTCCGGCCTCGGCGTTAAGAAGCTCACGACGAAGGTCAGTATTCGTGGGTTAGCGCGGATGGGTCGGTGTGTAGATGTATACTTGGCTGTGGAATGTCACGAGCCATGGCGGTAGAAAACAAGGTAGAGTGCACTGGCAGAACATAGGCATGATCGAAAGTGCAATACTAACGCGTCTGTGTTTGGAATGCGAATTTCAGTAAGAAGATGATTAACGAGTGGATTACCTAGTGCCACGGCCAACTTATGGCGTTCCTTGCGCCCATCCACACACCCATTGCCTCACTCTTTCTCAATAATTCCTCCCTCTCATCGTCCCCGCATCTCCAGCCGAACGACAGCCTGTACGAGCAGAAGCCAGTGGAGGCACCGGTTAAGGTGGGCGTGGTGGAGCACAAGGCGTCGCGCTTCACGTACAACGAGGCGTCCTCCTCCTCGCAGCCAGGCGCCGGGTCCGGCAGAGGCGGCCACGTAGCGGCGCCCGCGGCAGCTGGAGACTTTTTCAACGACTTCTCGGGAGGGATCAGGGCTGTTCCCAGTAACCGGCCCAAGCCCCCACCTCAGGTACAGGCCCCTGCCTCCGTTTTGGGTACACTCTGCTGCTTGTTGAATCTGTTTGGCTCAGTCATCTGCTGTTGGCATGTGATGTTTCTGGGGTGCGATGCGTTCGAGCTGCCGGTGCTTCTTGCAACGGGTGACGGCCTGTTTGGCCTGGTGACGTCGTCTAGTCTGTTTCACCCCAGGTATTCGCCCTCATCAGGACGCGCTCGTTTTCGTTTTTGGCGGCCTTGATTGCTTGGACCAATTCTTATGTTTCCAATCCTCTCTTTGTGGGTTGCAGCCAATCGAGGAGTCAGACAAGGCTCGCAGGAAGTTCGCAGGGGCGAAGGCGATCTCGTCGCAGCAGTTCTTTGACCGGGATAACAAGGAGCTGCAGGCGCAGAACCAAGAGCGGCTGCAGAAATTCCAGGTGAGCTGCAGGAACATGGCTTAAAACCGAGGTCCCCAGGTTTCAAAGGTAGAAAGGCTGGTTGGACCTGGTGACCCAACCAAAGGTAGGAAGGTTGGTTGGACCTGGTGAGTCTACCAAAGGTAGGAAGGATGAGGCAATAGAGGGGAACTTGATACTCCGGTTCTAATGACATTTCAGGAAGTGAAGAAAGACATAAGTGTAAGAAGCAGGAGCCGCAGCAGGTTTTCCACTGGGACAACAAAGTGCTGCAGGCACAAAACCGAGTGCGGCTGCGTAATTTTGAAGTGGTCTGCAGAAACATAGCTTAAAGACACTTTTAGGACGTGGAGAACGGGAGGACGCAGCAGCACTTTGACCCGGGCAGCAAGGATTTGCAGACAGAGAATTAAGTTTGGCTGCATTAGTGCGAGTTGGGCTGCAACAAACGTGAGCTGAGGTGTCTAAATCTAGTTCACAGAACTAAGCTGGGCTTCATTTGATGTTTCAGAGAATGGGGTTGGATGAGGCAGCAAGTGCGGAGAGGTGTGTTGTTGTGGCCACGGCAAAATGGTACTTGGTCAAATGAGAGGGAAGGCGGCATCTGGTCTTGGACAAGATGCTCTGGGAAACGAGTGGGAAACGTAGGGCAGCTGTTTCATCCAGCTCCCTCCCCCCCAGTCCCCGCCCTCCGACGCTCATCTCCTCCCCATGCCATCCCTTCTCCCCCATGCCTGTGCCGCCAGAACTCGTCGGCTATTTCGAGTGCAGCCTTCTTTGATCGGGACGAGGGTGGCAACCAGGGTGGTGGGGACGGCTCTCTGGACAGCGTTGCTGCAGACCTACTGGGAGGGCTCTCCGTTGGGGTGGGTGTTGCTTGCGTGTCTACTGTTGCGTGATATCCATTTTCCAGTATGTCTATCATTTTTTAGAATGTGTGTGGACATCACTTCATCCCCAACATTGACTCCCCACATTGTCTGGTAAAACAACCATGCCACTTGCTTCTTCGAGAGCAGGTTGTCGCCGGGCAGGCCGGGCAGGCTCTGTCATTATGCGCATCACGCAGCTTGCTTTGAGCCGCCTCTGTGAACCACGAGCTGTTTCAGAGCCAAGTGCCCACGAGCCGCCTCTGTGCCACCCACGACTGCCACTGTGCCACCCACAGCAACCCCCTTGCATTCCGCCCCCCTTGCTTCCCATGTTGCATTGCAGGCTGTGGCAGAGCAGACAGGGCAGGCACTGTCATCATTTGCCTCCAGCATCCTTGCTGACTTGCAGGACCGAATTCGATAGGCAGGGGGGTGGACGGGGGTGAGGAGGAGAAGGGGGACACAGGGACTTTTGAGGTGTGTCGGACGGGCAGGCGCTGTTATAGATTTCCCTCCAGGCTCCACTGTCCTTGCTAACTTGCAGTACCGGATTTGATCGGCGGGAGGGGGCGGGGGAGAATTAGGGGAGGATGTGTGGGGAGGAATGCATTGGACTCATAGTACCACATGCCCTGCTGATTTCACATGCGTCCTGGTAACTGAGGTATCACATGAAGTGTGCATGCGTGCTTATGTAGGTGTTATGTGCTGGCACGGTGGCACAGTGCGCCATACTTGTCTCTCCTTCTCATGGACCAACACTGAAACCTCTCGGTACACAGCTGTGACTCGCCCGTATGCAGAGAAAAAGCAGGGACGAGCAAGAGGAATTAGATAGGCCAGAATGGTAGATTGTGGAATGGGGCTTCAGTGGTAACCACATGTTTGTTATATTTGGGTAGCTGTGAACCAGTGTTTGTGATTTACTAACAAGTTTATGCAAGCACATCTGCAGCTAAGGGTATGTGTGCTGATTCTTGCTGATGCTCCTACCAGGTCTTAACAGTACGGGGTTTGACAGATGCCCCTTCAAGACACCTGATATGGCCTCTCTAGTCGCACTGAGTCAATTAACAGGTTGCCATTTAGCAAAAACAAGCCACAACCCGTTGCTTGATCGAGCAGGTGGCGGAGAATCACATGGCTCCAGATGGAAGGCAAGTGGCATGGTTCCTGTACGTGGTGATAAGAGAATTTAGGGAGGGAAAGGGAGGGCAGGAAGGAGGAAGGATAGGGACAGGTGAATACAAGAAGGGGAGAAGTGGGAGATAAGAGGATAACGAACATTAGGGATGGGGAACATGTTGATTGAGGGGAGCTAAGAGGAGGATTGTGTTCAATTTGAAAAGAGGTACTAATTGTTGAAGGTAACTGGACTTACCATGGGCTACAGCCGGCTCTAAGACCAGCCGAGCAGGAGTCTAGAAGATACTTCAAGCAAAAGAAAAGCAGCTGCAAAGTCTATTCGTTGTGAAACTAATTCAACAATGCAGGTTAATGACTGGACTCACAGTGGGGTACGAAGGGAGGCCGATTGGGTCAGGGCAGATCTGATGATTTTGGAGCGGCGGCAGCAGCGGCAGCAGTGGCATTGGCAGCAGCAGCTGTGGCAATAGCTGCAGCTGCAGCAGCCATTGTAGCAGCATCAAGCATCGCCGGCTCAGCAGCAGGGGCAGCAGTTGGAGGGGAAGCAGCAGCTAGGGTGGCAGGAGCAGTAGTTGCAGTAGTTGCGGCAGCAGCGGTGGCAGTGGCGGCAGCAGCAGCAGCGGCAGTGGCGGCAGCAGCAGCAGCCGTCACAGCAGCAGCATCAGCCAATGTCACTTCAGGGCTGACAGGCTTGGCAGCAGGAGCAGCAGATGGTGTGGCAACAGCAGGAGAGTATACCGAGGGAGCAGGAGCCGCAGTGGCACCACTTGTTGCAGCAGCAGTGGCAGCAGCAGCCGTGGCAGTGGCGGCGGCAGCAGCAGCCAGAGTAGCAGCATCAGCTGCAGGGTCAGCAGCAGGAGCAGCGGAGGCAGTGGGAGCAGCAGGAGCAGCAGCAGGGGGAGCAGCAGGGGGAGCAGCGGCGGCAGAGACAGCAGCAGCAGTGGTGGCAGCAGCAGCTGCTGCAGCGGCAGCAGAAGAGACAGGTGCTGCTGGGGATGGTGAGGATGGGGGCTTGAGATCCTCATACTGGGTGTATGGGGAAAGTGGTGACTGAGGGATGGGAAGAGTCATTGCGTCTGAGACAGCAGCGGCCACCGCAGCAGTGGCAGCAGCAGCAGCGGTTGTAGCACCAGCCGCAGCAACTGTAGCTGCCGCCCCTGCTGCTGCTGCAGCCGGGTCGACAACCAGAGCAGGCGCCGAAGCCACAGGTGAAGGCATGACGGCAGGCTCGGCAACAGGCACTGCAGCAGACTCGGCAACCTCGGCAACAGGCTCGGCAGCAGGCTCAGCAACAGGGATTGTAGCATCTTCAGCTGCTACGGCAGCAGGAGGTGAGGGGGTTGGGGAGGTTGGGGGCTTGAGGTCCGGGTACTGTTGGAGAGAGGGGAGCACGCAGAAGGAAGGGAAGTCGTTGAGTGAGAGTGAGGAGTAGAGGAGAGCAGAAGGTGGGTAAGACGATCATAAAGAGGATAAGGGTGGAGGAAATTGGATCATAAGACGATAATTAAATTGATGGAGGAAAGTGGATGAGGGTGGAGTGAGGTCAGGTAGGAGTGAGGGCAGGGAGGAGAGGCAGGAGGAGGCTGGAGTGAGAAGAGTAAGCGTGAGTGATAGCAGTCAATGCCGCACGTCTCTATCTGTGTGTGAGAGGATGTTAGCTCACCTGGCTGTAGGGCGAGAGGGGCCTGTCAGCATAGGGCAGGTCTGAGACAGGTGCAACTGGTGCAGCTGCTGCTGGTGCAGGTTCAACTTGTGCTGCCACTGCTGGTGCTGGTGCTTCTGCTACTGCGGCGGCAGCAAGTGGCTCAGCAGCCGGTTCGGCAGCAGGCTTGGTAGGAGGTTCGGCAACGGTGGCAGAATTGGAGGTGGGGGGGGAAGGGCATGGCGAAGTGGGGGGCTTGAGGTCCGGATACTGCAAGGGTGGGAGATTCATGGGCGGAAGGAGGGGGGAGAGGAGACAGATGGGGAGGGAGGGGGAAGAGGAGACAGTTTGAAGTTGGGTCAAAAGTTAAGGAGAAATGGGAGATTGAGGCTTGTGTGGGGGGGGCTGAGGATCAGATACTGCAAGGATGGGAAAGAGGATGCTTATTGAGCCGCCTAAAAGATCCTTACCAGGGCATAAGGGGAGAGAGGACGATTGGCGTATGGCAAGTCGGATACTGCTGACTCAGCCTCCGCCTTTGCTGACTCAGCCTTCGTTGCAGTAGGTGCAGCAGCAACAGGAGGAGCAGGGGCAGCAACAGGGGCAGCAGGGGGAGCAGCAGCGTGAGCAGCAGGAGCGGCAACAGCTGCGGCAGGAGCGGCAACAGCAGCGGCAGGAGCGGCAGGGGGAGCAGCAGGAACGGCAGCAGTACGGGTAGGAGCAGCAGCAGGGGGAATGACAGCAGCAGGGGCGGAAGGTGCAGCAGCAGTAGCAGCAGCAGGAGCAGCAGCAGCGGCAGCAGCAGCAGCAGCGGATGAAGGAGAGGGAATGGGCGACGGGACGGATGGTGCTGCTGCCGGCTTGGCAGGGGCAGCAGGAGAAGCAGCAGCAGGGGCAGCAGGAGAAGCAGCAGGAGAAGCAGCAGCAGGGGCAGCAGCAGCAGCAGCAGGAGCAGCAGCAGCAGGAGCAGCAGCAGCTGGAGCAGCAGTCGTGGCTGCAGCAGTGGCAGTGGTGGGCGCAGGACTCGTTTCCTTAGGCGGGCTCAGCACAGCAGTGCTGCTCGTTGGTGCAGTGGCTTCGTCGGGAGGGGCAAGGGCAGGCAGGTCCGCACCAGTTGGCAGGTACTTGCGCAGCTGAGCCAGTGTCTGCTCCCTGTCCTGTTGTGGGGGAAGAGAGGTAGGGAGGGGTGGGGAGAGATGGGGAGAGGTGGACAGAGGTGAGAGGAGAGAGGGTGGGCAGGTCGGAACCGGTTGGCAGGTACTTGCGCAGCTGTGCCAGTGTCTGCTCCCTGTCCTGTGGGTTGAGGAGAGGTTGGGAGGGACGGGGAGAGGTGGGAAGAGCAGAGTCGGTAAAAGTAGAGCCTGCTGACAAGTACTAGCACGAGGAGGAGGGGGGTTGAGAGAGTTAGTGGGAGTGGAATTGGGAGTGGCCATGGGAGTGGGTGAGAGTGGGTGGGAGTGGGTGGGAGTGGGTGGGAGTGGGCTTGGCGCATCACCACCCGCCCCTGGCAATGAACTGCACGAGCGCCACTGACGCTGCCAGCTGAATGCTCCCCTTACGAGGACCCATTCACTTTCAGTAGTATCTATCCCCCCACCATGGTGCATGCACACATCACCCCACCTACCTTAGCGAAGAGCAGCTTGGTAGCTATGAACTGCACGTGTGATGAGTTCTGTTTTTGAGTCGACTCAGAAACAGACTCCCTAGCGCGCCTTGCACCCTTGACACATCTCGTACCTTAGCAAAGAGCAGCTTGGTGGCTATGAACTGCACGAGCGCCACTGATGCCACCAGAGTGAGTAGTGCCTCGGCCTGAAGGGGTGAGGGGTTGAGAGGTTGAGGGGATGAAAGGTTGAGGACTGAGAGGTTGAGGGGTGAGAGGGGAACGGGGTGAAGGGGCCAGGGAGGGAACAGGAAGGAATGGGGGCAAGAAAGACTCTGGTCTGGATTAACGCATTGCATTGAAACAATGCTATGACAGCACTACCATGGAACAACATTGTTGTGGTGGTGCCGAGCCGACAATGCGTTTTGAGACGTCTCAAAACACTTCATCAAACACGTGACAGCACAACCATGAAACAACATTGTTGTCGTGGTGCCGAGCCGACAATGCGGTGAATGCGAACTCTGCCAGCACTGCCTTTTGAGTCGACTCAAAGGTCATGTGAATGCGAACTCTGCCAGCACTGCCTTTTGAGTCGACTCAAAGGTCATGTGAATGCGAACTCTGCCAGCACTGCCTTTTGAGTCGACTCAAAGGTCATGTGAATGCGAACTCTGCCAGCACTGCCTTTTGAGTCGACTCAAAGGTCATGTGAATGCGAACTCTGCCAGCACTGCCTTTTGAGTCGACTCAAAGGTCACTTAAATGCGCACTCTAACAGCACTGTCACGGATAGCCCAGCAGCAAAGATGGCCATGCCACACTGCCATCTCCTCTCCCCACTTTCCCCCTTACACACCCTCTTGGCCCCACTCTTCCAAAACTAGGCCATGAGATGGCAAGTACAAGTGAATGTGCACCTCTACGGTCTGTCAGCACGGCCACGGAGAGACCAGCAGCAGCGAGGATGCCCAGTGCTGCACTGCCATCCCCCCATCCGCCCCATCCATCTCACCCATGAGTGAACACGCACCTCTGCCAGCACGGCCACGGAGAGGCCCGCAGCAGCGAGGATGCCCTGTGCTGCACTAGCGTCCCCCCCCCCCCCCACCCAGCCCCTGCTTCCCAGAAACCTGACTACACCCAGCACGAAGGAACACGCACCTCTGCCAGCACGGCCACGGATAGCCCAGCAGCAGCGAGGATGCCGAGTGCTGCAGGAGCTGCTGATGCCGCTGCTGACGCTGTCTTTGATGCACTGCTCTGGATGAAGTTAAAGGGAAGAGACATGGGGAAAGTGGAAAAAGGAGCCGTGAAGAGGTGTAGTTAAAAGAATCAAAAGAGGTGGTTAAATGAGTTCTTTTGAGATGGAGTTTATGTTTCATGCTTTAGTTTGTTTGTTCTTCAATCAAGCCAGAGGAAACTCTGACGTGCTGCTAACCGCTTGCGCTGTGAAGTCGGACTCTTCAAGGTTCAAGGAGGAACGTTCTTTTTTTTAGTTTACTTGAAAACCCTGTCATAAACTCACCCCTACGGTGAAGAATTTTTTTTGTTCCAGCTGTAGAAACAGGTTGATTCCTCGTTTGAACAGGTGGACCGTGGAATATATTTTGTCAACTCATATGAGTGATTATTATCAGCTCACCTCTACAGTGGTGAAGACCTCTTTCACTGTAGAAACGGACTCCTCGAGGTTGATTCCGAGGTTGAACGAGGGGAGCGAGGGGAGTGAGGGTAGCACAGGCGTGGGCAGGCGGAGAAATGGTTTCTTCCACGGCAGCCCCCCTTCCTGCACGAGACAAGGGGGAAGAAGGGTGAAAAGGGGGAAGAGACAAACGGGGAGATAGGGGAAAGTTGGAAAAGGGGGAAGAGGGGAAAGGGGGAAGGGTGGAAGGGGAAACTAGTTGAGCGGTCAGGCGCAGGACGCTTTTGTTCCTGGAACTGCTCTGCTAAATATAGGTCAAGGTGGGGCTGGTTGTGGGAAGAGGGGAAACTAGCTGGCGGGTGACGATTTTGTTCACGGCAAACTGATGCATGGAGCCACAAAAACTTTCCGAGCTGATAATTCAACTACGGCAGGGACACTTCAGCCAGTACTTGCCTGCCACGCGTCAGCTCCTCCAGCCACGACGAAGACATTCTTGAAGCCCGCTGACGTCAGCTGCTTGGCGACATCCACGGCGTCCTCCCCGGCCCTGGTTGGGATAACAAAGGGAAACGCGAGAGTTCAGCAAACAGAAGACAATTTAGGTTAAAAATTAAACTCCAATCTCGATTGGTGTGACGCAACGTTTCCAACTCTGGTACTCACCAATCCGACAACACGAACGGCACATCACATACTTATCGATAACGATGATAGTAGATCCGTCCGACACGGCCTTAGCCTCCTTAACCGCGTCGAGGAATCCCTCTTTACGATCACCCAATTCAATCACCACGTCGTCCTCCCCGTCCCCCTCGCCCTCCTCCGGTTTCCGCTTCACAGAATCCTCGCGATACGCCACCGCCACCAGCCGCTTCGGCGAGTTTTTCAGCGTCGGGTTACCCGATCGGCTCTTCTCCTTGCCGTCGCGAATGTCCAGCAAAACAACCGCTTCGCCCTCTTCCTCCCACTCCTCCCCAGCCTCTTCCAGGGCCTTTTCCAGAGCCGCTTCTGGGGTCAAATCCCCCGCGTACTGCTTCCGCGTGAGAAACGAAAACGCCCCCGCGAGCAGCGCCGTCGCTCCCGCTGCGGCCGCGAAAGCGAGGGCCACTTCGGCGTCGAATACGGCGGCAGAAGCGGCAGCGGGGACGGCACTGGTGAACAGGTCGGCGACTCCAGCCGCTGCAGAAGTGACGGCGGAAGTGGCGGCAGAGGCGGCGGCCGACGCGGCTTCAGTCACGGCGGCAGGTGCGGCGGCAGAGACGGCGTCAGATACGGCGGAAGCAACGGCGCTAGCGGCCTCCCCAGCGGCGGACCCGGCGACGGCAGCGCCGGCGGCCTCCCCAGCCGACGTGGCATTGACGGGCCCGGTGGCGGCAGCGGAAGTGATTGTAACGACGGAGCGCTGCACGGCCTTGCCGGCGATTTGCTCGTAACGGGAGAGCGCGTCGGAATCGACGGCGAGAGCCGCAGGAGCGGTGAATGCGGAAATCGCGGATGTAGCAGCGGCTACAGCTGCGGCTACAGCTGCCGAAGCCGCTTTAAGAGTGAAGGAGGCTGGCTTGTTCTGCGACGCATTCGGTTGCGACGAGTCTGATTGGCGAGCGACGGCGCGCGACGTGAGCGCAGCATTTCGCTGAAGCTTCGCCGACGCGGATGCCGCGTGGGCGATTAGCGGCAGCGGGACGAGCGACGCGAGCTGATAAGCGGCGCTCAGGTTCCTCCCGTAGGAAAGAACGCGTCCGGCAGAGGATACATTGAAATGGCTTGGTGAAGTGCGGTGAGACGAGGTGCGCGTTGGTCTGTGCAGGGGAGGAAGACCTGCGACGATGCGGCCACCGCACGTCGCGGGAAGGATGAGCGCCATTCAAGCTGGCTATGCGACCTGGCGAAGCGTTGGCGAGTTACGCAAGGGGAGCAAATGTATGCTACAAGAGTAGGCACGTTGAGAGAAGCAGCCCACCGCCACACGACAAACACTGACCCGGCAATACCAATGTCAGGAGCAGCTAGGGCGTAGCGAATAGGCGCCTATTGATCTTGATTGCTCATGCGAAAACCAATCTCGCGGTGTAAGTTGACATTCACCGAAATGTAACGTACTCAGTCGCGTCAAACCTTTGAAAGGCAAGGAAAGCAAGCGATAGTGGAAGAGAAGTGGGGAGGAGGCTCAATTTCCAAGGGTGGTGAATCATCGTTGCGCCTTGTCTTGCTGGCGGTTCTCGAGAAGCCTTCACCACGCAGAATGCTACCTCTTGACGTGGAAAGTCGACATGGCAAGCTGTGGCCCTGAATGGGAGCCAGGTTGTGGCGGAGATTTCACGAAATTGGCCAATGATACATTTCCCAGTTCAAACTGCCTTGCAGAAAATCGTAATGTAACAAGTGCCACGTGCGAGTTCAAGATGAGGTTCCAAGAAATAGTGCGATTCGCTTCAGCCAACACAGCAAATCCCTCTTCTGTGAGCACCACAGGCTTCAACGCAAATGCCACCCTGAAATAAATGTTCAGTACCAACCATTATTTACAGGCTATTTACAACGACAAATCTATACACAAAGCTACTTGCAGAGGCCCCTCAACATCCACAGGATCAGAATTCAGATCGATGCCACACGCGCGTGAGCCATTCAAAATGGTAGTCCCATGACTGTCACACTCTTTCTGATGCAGCTTGGCTGACATCGAACCCCCCTCGGGCACGCAATGGGGCGCTGGAGGTGCCAACACCAAGGCTGGTCCAGAACAAACCCTGTTTCCATGCTGCATGTACAATAGCTCATTTTCATCCTGTTGCAGATGGGGGTCCACCAGGGATGCTACAGGTGGCACCAGGACACGATTTGGCAGCACGGTGAGCCGATGGTGGAGTGGCTGCTGATCCAACAGCAGCTGCTGCTGAGACTGAATGCCTGCTTCACAAAAGGGCTGCTGGGGCTCGTCTTCCTTCACAGGAATTTCAGCTGGTTTTGCTGCTGGGACGGCACTTTTTGCCTCCTTCAGTGTGAGCATCTCCGCAGCACTTTCAGCAATGCCGGAACTTTCTGAAGGCAAGGATGCCTTCTGCAGCTCACACAAGCTTTCTGTGGCCTCTTGAGCAACTGCCTCCGCCTTCCTCTTGTGCACTACCTTCAACCTCTCCTCTGCAATCGGAAACAAGATGGTAAATCAGAATAGTACACAACAAAATGCAGGGACTTACAGACGTAAAGCACACCTCTTGAACAAGTTTGACCTGAAATAGTGGCCAGCATACCTCTCTTGCGGCTGGACATGTGTTCATCCAAACACTGAGGCAGGGTGAACGTCCTCCTGCACTCATTGCCCTCATGCGTGGATGGAACAGTGGGGCCTGCTGCCAGTAGATTTCGGAGTTCATCCTCTGGAGAAAAACAGGTGCGAGCTGGATCAACATGATTGGATTGCATCAGGTGGATGGGTGGGATGGAGCCTGAGATGCCTGATGACACCAGGTGACTGGACGGCTGCACGGGAAGACTCCCAGTATAGCTCAACGATTGCACCTTCCCCAAGGGCAGGTCCCTGTGGCCGGATTGAGCAGGAGCATTCTCGGTGAGCGCGTCGGCTTTGCTGGTTGATTGCAATATATGATTCCTGGTATGAAGGTCCGTATGGCTGGATCAAACAGGATTCCTGGTTAGAGATCCATGCGACTGGAAAATTGTGGAGGAAGGTTTCTGGTAGACATGACCTCATAACCAGAGGACTGCAGTGAAAAATTCCTGGTTAGAAAGTCCGTATAGCTGGAAGATTGCACTGGAAGGCTTCCAGGGGGGCAATTCAGATAGCTGGATGTCCGAACAGGAAGACCCTGGGTAGAAAAGTCCACATGGCTGGTGCTTGGAGCCGGAAGCGATAGGGAATTAAAAGAAGCCGTGTCAGGCACAGGAAGCTGGGATGAAGAGGAGAGCGAAGCAGTTGCTGTGGGATTTGGAGAGAACGGGAGAGCAGAGGGCGAAGTTGGAGCGGGCCCGAGGGGGTTTACGGGAGGCCGTAAGGTTGCAAGAAGGCGCGCTCTATGGATGATGGTTTGTAGCGCTCCTGCAGTGGTGAATAGTTGTGACGGCGTGAAGAGACAGACACACAGAGATACGTTAGAGATGGGAAAGCACAAGAAGCAGGCTGGAAAACTTGGCTAAGAGGCAACAAGAAGAATTTTTTGAAGGGGATCCGCAGAGAGACTGAAAAGGCACGTTCACAATCTTAGCCTAACTTTTTTGCCCCATCGCCACCAGAGACAGAAAGCAGGGCTCCAAAACAAGACGTGCAGCGACAATCACCAGTGAAAGCGGCGGAGGGGGCAGGAAGAAGCCTCTTGGCGATCAGGCGAGCAGCAAGAGCCTCGTCGTCATCGCTAGCAGCAGCCGCCTTGATCTCCCCCTCGCTCGGCAGCGAATCTCTGCGCAATCTCTTCCACTTCCGACTCCCGTTTGACGGCTTCTGGCTCTCGCTAGACTCCCGGCGCTGGCCTTCAGAAGGCTTCTGCCTTAACGCTCCGAGCTCAGGCACCGGGGGTAAGGCGCTGCTATGTCCCGCCGCAATAGCCGGTAAATCTTGATGAGGAATCCGCGATTTGGAATCTTGATGAGTCGAGACGTTGCTTGTAGTAGCGGTTCGCGATAGGACTGGCGCGTTCCAGCGGGGCTCATCTTGTCGGCCATACCTTTCAAGTGCACGATACCTCCTGTCATACAGACCATACCTCTCCAGCGTTTCACGAGCAGTTTTCCGCGCCCTAAGTAGGAGCCCCTGATCCATTTCACGAGAAGCGGTGGTAATGCTGCTGTTGCTGCTGGCTTCTAGTTCGTGAACGTGCAGAAATGCGGTAGTAAATACTGCTTGAAGTGGGGAACTTTTGGATTGATAAGAACTCTCATCCCTGCTAGCAGCTGGCCGATCCTTCGCGGTTTCCAGAACACTGGCGTGGCAGCTTGGTGCGAGGGAAAGTGATAACAGCCTTGTGGTTCAGAAGGACCACACCTGGGTGGGGCCATCCCTAATGATTGCTCTTGCAGGATTTCAGCAGTCTACCGCCTTAGAACTCTTGCAACCAGACGCAGCTGGCATGCGCAGGAAAACACTGAGACCCTGGATGAGCTGGCGAGTGGTCCCGTAGGGCTTCGCATGTGAACGGATGAGGAGCTTGTGTTTCGGATGGATGGTGAGGATCAAGTGATGCCGCCAGCCAGATCCGACGAGAGAATCTGAATCCGCGACTCTGCTGATCTGTGACGAAGTTGAGGCGGTTTCGAGAAAACCTACTGGCGGAGGTTGTAACACCTCGCTACCCACTGGGTCAAAACGAGGGTTGTATTTGAGGCGCAGCGGATGCTCTCATACCCTTACGTGTAAGCCCCACAGGCGTTACAGAGGCAGTTTGTAGCGACCTGAAGCAGATATTCGGGATCGCCGTCAAAAAGTGAAAAATCACGTGACAAGTGGCAGATTGGAGTAAGTGATGGTGGTGATCGTGCAGCTGAGAGCTTCTAGAGACCGTCCATAAGTCTGCTGTAGTCAGGTGCATCCTTGGGGAGTTCGGTTCTAAGAGATTTAGGGCGGCCATCTGTTCGAGCTGGTGTGAGAGGCATCATTGCCGGCATCCCTACGCGGTTGCTGTCCACTCCGACCCATGGAAGTCCAAACAAGACGATGTATGCGGTTGTCGCATTTCCGGAGCTGCATGCGGTGCCGGCTATCGCGCTAAGCAGAGACGGCTTAGCGTTCATGGTGGCGAGGGGTAAAAGGCCGCATCGCGACGGAGCCACGTGTAAAGAAAAAATGTAAAGCTCCCACCTATGGGTGGGACTATGCTGTCAGTCATAGTCGCGTGCCACACGTGCCACGAGTACTAGTGGTCCAAGCTTTTGCCATGTGGAGTGTTCGAAGTGGCAGGGAGCGCTCGAATATGTTTCTGGGTATGTAGGAGAGGTTATAGGGTAAGTAGCTTTCGCGGGGGCACTACTAGGGACCCCGCGCTTTCTAGGGAGCTACAGTGCCAGCAGGGGGCACTTTCCGCCCCCCCGTGCCTCAGACAGGGGAATTATAGAAACAACACAGAACTCTTCCCCAATAAATTTCACTTTCTGACGCCGGTAGCGCCCGGTAGCGCTCGCTAGCGCTACCGAGCGCTACCGACTGAGTCAGCAAGCTGACCGCGGGCAAAACAAATAAACCCCATACGGACTGCATGCCATTCGGGAGCCTCAACCCTAAAATTTTAGGGTTGAGGCTCCCTCGGATGGCATGCCATCTGGATGGAATTTAGTTTTTTTCTTGCCCGCGGTCAGCTTGCTGACTCGATTGCACTGCCTGCTTACGCAGGCAGTGCAATATATTCCCCACATTCACCCACGTGTCACAAATTTGGAAAGTTAAAAAACGCACGGCAAAAAAAATAAAACCCATAGGGAACCTGGACTCATTTTCGGGAGGGATCAGGCCCTCAGATTCACTTTTAGGGACGTTGATGCATCAGGGTCCCTGTGAAAAAAAGCCTGAATTTTCAGGGTTCCTAAAAGAAAAAGCCTGAATTTTCAGGGTTCCGGAAAACAAAAGCCTGAATTTTCAATCACATCATGCAGTTGTTCTAGAGTAGCCTTTCGACATGGTAGTAGAGGGATTCGTACCAGAAACCTTACCATTCGGTATCCGCTTCGCTAACCACTAAGCCAGTTCATGGAGTCAACAATCAGTATTGTTTACAGAAGTGGTTTTTAAATTGTGGAAATGTTGGTTGACTTATTGTCTCGGGTGTTTTACGGGAAGGATTCGGAATGTGCATTCAGTGTACACTTCGATAAAAGTCTGAAACATCAGTGTTAGCTATGAAGTAAAGGCTGAAAAAA